CCCCCCCTTATTTTCTCTTGATTTTCTTCAAATCTTAACATTGTCTACCCTCATTCATCACCACCATTCTTTTTTGAAATAATGGAGGTAATAATGTATTCTACAACACAGAGAAGGAGCCAAAACGAAGTCCTAAGCATGTTAGTGATTCAGTTCCAGAAACAGTTGCTTCGCATCTCCTGTCACCCTGAGGACACGGAGCAGGTAGGGCTCATGGCTAACTCTGTCTTACTTCCCCAGACCTCACACTGGGTGCAGGGCACAGACGTCCAACAGCATTTACATGGCATAATTAACTGGGCATGCTTTAGCAGAAGCCCAAGCGTGGATGGAGGGAGAGCCAAGGAAGCTAACTCCAGCCCAGAGCAACGTGCACAAAGAGGCCTATGCAAAATGCTGTGGCTACTCAAAGGAGGGAGCCACTGAGAGGCAGCCTCCTTCCTTTTAAGGAGAAATTTATGTTATTTGGCTATCCTCAATGGGAATAGCCCATGTGGCTATTGCTCCTTAGAAAAGCATCCTTTCTGATTCTAAATTCTTTGAGTCTGTAATTATTCAACATCTGTTTTTCACCTGCACATTAGTTAACAGTTCTGAACAGGGGGTTCCAGATAGGCTTGCTCTGTGGTCTGATCTGAGCACGCCCAGTCTGGGGATTGTTTCCTTCAAAGATAGAGCACAGAGATGGTTTTCCTAAGTTGCACGTCACCATCACAAAAGGAGTAGAGCCCTTCTGAAGTCTTAATAAAATGGAAGCAAGCATTAATCCCTGTGGGCATGTGAGACTGAAAAGTAAACCCTGAAACATGTCAGAAAGCCGGTGAGATAGCTCAACCATCTAAAGTGCCTGCTTTAGGCAAAGCGCAGGTAGTGCAGTTTGATCCCTGGCACCACATGCTGTGCCAGCCCCACCCCTAGGGATGGCTGAGCAGGCCATCAAAAAAAACCATGTCATAACTTGTTTTTGGTTATTCTCGAAGTACCAGACCCCAGATGCCCATGAGAGCTGGTGGAGCTGGGCAAGTGATCTGAGGATGTCAGGGGGCCAGTGGTAGGAGGGAATGTTAATTTGCAAATAACACTAGGAAATGTGTGTTATTTGCAAATACTAGGGCCACTTTCCCCCCAAAAATGAACATCTATAGACCTTCATATCCATGGGGGATCCTAGAACCAATCTTTTAGATACCAAAAGACATGAGATACCTAGCTACATGAGAGTCTTATGTAACTGCTGGAATTCTGTTTACTCTCTGGCCATTTTCCCTGACAAACTATGAGTTACACTAGCAAAAGATGATTTAAAAATAAAATTAAGAAAACAGTTCCATTTACAACAGTATCAAAAAGACTGAAGTATTTAAGAATAAGTTTAAGTAAAGAAATGTAAGATTTATACACTGAAAATTATAAAACATTGCTAAGAAAAAACAAAGATTTAAATAAATGGGAAAATGGGGCTGGGGAATGGCTCAGGAGAATAAGCGCTCCCCTGGCAAGCGCAAGGGCCTGAGTTCAATCCCCGGTTTCTGGTTCCACAAAAAAAAAAAAAAAAAAAAAAAAAAAAAAAAAAAAAAAATTACAAATAAATAAATAAATGGGAAAACATTTCATGTTCATGAATTGTTACTCTTCAAATTGATCTGCTGGGTGTGATAGGAGAACTGCCATGATTTCAAGGCCAACCTGGACTACACAGTGAGTTCAAGGACAGGCTAAACTACATAGCAAGACTCTCTTTCAAAAACAAAACAAAACAAAACAGAGCTGGGTATGGTGGCAGATTTCTACAGTCCCAGACCTCTCAGAGGCTGAGGCAGGAGGATCACAAGTTCGACCCAGCCTGGGCAACTTGGTGACCTTGTAATAATAAAAAAGACTAGGAATATAGATTGGCGAAGAGGCCTGGGTTCAATCCCCAGCACTGCAAAACAAAACAAAGAGATCCAGTTCTAGCCCAAGCCTGGTGAGTGTGTGGGAGAGCTTCCTGCTACCCTGCACCAGCGGGACCTGCCAGTCCCAGTCCAGGTGCAGCGTGGGTGAGACCCCCTCCCACCCCCTTGGGACACCCCACACCACTCCGCAGCACCCCCCCACCCTGCCCACCCAGTGAGGATTTCTGCCGCATTCTGGGGACCTCCAGATCCAGCCCTATCCCAGGCCTGGTGAGTGTGTGGGAGAGCTTCCTCTCCCCACTACTCCACCTTGTCCCCTCCAGACTCAGCTCAGGTCTGGCATACAGGCTGGGGTAAAACCCTGCAGCTGCAATCCCTACACAGAGTGTAGGGGACAAAGCCACCCAGCTAGTCCAGGAGCAGAACATCTTGCCAGAGGGGCACAAGAAGATCACTCCCAAGAGCAGCAGCAGGAAGCAGCTGAGCACAGCAGCCAGACCCAAGTCAGGCACAACTGGATAAAACCAAACTTTGTAGATCTGCACATGAACTTCAGTAGGTGCTAAAGTTGTAACTGCAGCAAAGCTCTACAAAAAGGTCAGAAGACAGTGCTAAACAAAATGACAATGAGAAGGAACAAAATACAATCTCAGACCCCAAGCACAACCATAACAAGTGCAGAGGACACTAACACAGAACAAATTGGGAACCACATAGCTGAAATCAATGAATCAGCAGCTTCTGAAATAAAGAAACAACTGCAGAAAGGTATAGAGGAACTCAGATTGGAAATGAAAAAAGAAA